GTAAAGGAAGAGTCAAATGATGACCATGAAAGGCCTTTTGCTGAGCAGTTTGGCTTGTGCCCTTGAAGTGAATGGGGAACTGTTGAATTTTGAATCATCAGATTTGTAGTCTGGCACTCACGGGGAAAGAGTGTTGGTATTGTCCTTGTAAGAGTTGATGAAGATGGGAAAAAGGATGGGGAGTGGGGATATCTCAGGGTGTAGGATATGAACAGGAAGAGGGAGGAATCTGGAATGACGCCTTGGTTTCCAATTTGAATAATCTAGCACATTAACTTCAGGAAAAGGTTGGGTTTGAATTTCCTGGAGGTGGAGATGTGCGGGAAACAATCAAAGAGATGGGTCTGTAGCCCAGATCTCTCCCTAGAATATAAACAAAATTTGGGAGAGGGAAGTAAAGGAAGTGACAGAAGCCTGGGGAACACCAATTTCTCCCCCTCATTTTCTTGTGAAAAATTTCAAGCCTACCTAAAAGTTTAAAGTATCTTATAGTGAATACCCATGGGCCCACCATCTGGAGTCTATAATTATCATTTTTCTCCATTTGCTTTATCACACATCTATCCATCCCTCTTGAACATCATCAATGCATCTTGTTTTGTATGTATTTCAGGGTAAGTTGCAAACATTAGGTACGTTTCACTTCGACACCTTAACATGCAAATCAATCACTAGAGTTCAATATTTAGTGAAACACACAAATCTTAAGTGTACTATTTGATGAAGTCGATGAATGCATCACTGTATACCCACATATCCCTGTCAAGATACATTTCCATCTCCCTAGAAAATTCCCTGTGCTCCTTCCAGTCAACTCCTGTCCCCACCTGACCCCTACAAGCAACTGCTATTTTCATTTTTTTTTCAAGCATAAATTAGTCTGTTCTAGAACTTCATGTAAGTGGAGCCATACAAGATGTGTTCCTTTGTATCTGGCTTCTTTCACTTAGCATAATGCCTGTAAAGAGTCATTTCTTTGTGTCTCAGTAGCTTGTCCCTTTTATTGCTGAGTGAAAGTCGCTCAGTCATGTCTGACTCTCTGCGACCCCATGGAATTCTCCAGGCCAGAATACTGGAGTGGGTAGCCTTTCCCTTCTCCAGGGGATCTTCCCAGCCCTGGGATCAAACGCAGGTCTCCCGCATTGCAGGCAGATTCTTTACCAGCTGAGCCACAGGGAAGCCTTTATTGCTGAGCAGTATTCTATTATGAAGATGTGTGGTTTAGTCACTAAGTTGTGCCTGACTCTTTGGGACACCATGGACTGTTGCCTGCCAGGCTCCTCTGTCCATGGGATTGCCCAGTCAAGAATGCTGAAGTGGGTTGCCACCTCCTTCTCCAGAGGATCTTCCCGACCCAGGGATCAAACCCATGTCTCCTGTGTTGGCAGGCAGATTCTTTACTACTGAGCCATCAGGGAAGCCTGTAAAGATGTGTAGGAATAACAATTTGGGGGAATTCCCTGGTGGTCCAGTGTTTAGGACTCAGCACTCCCACTGCAGGGGGCATGGATTCAATCTTTGGTTGGGGACCAAAGATCCCACAAGCCAAAGGTGCGGCCAAAAGAAAAGAAAAGAAAAGGAATTTTTTAAGGGGTGGACAGAGAAAGAGGATTCTACCAAGGATACTAGAAGGAACAGTGAAGGCAGTAGGAAAAGCACCCAGAGAGAATGTCAAGGAAAACCATCTGGATCAGTTATAATTAGGTTTGACTACATATAACATAAAAACTAAATAACAGTGACTTAAATAACAGGCATTTTTCTTCTCTCATGTAGAAGAAGTCCAGAGATAGACAGTCCTGGGGTGGTATGTTGGCTCACAGTGCCATCACTGGCCTAGGCTCCTAGCTTTGTGCTCAGCTATATTCAGTACTGGCTTTTATCCTCAAGGTCACCTCATGGTTCAGTATGGCTGCTGGAGCTCCAGCTATCCTATCTGCTTTCCAAACTGGTAACAGAAGGAGGAAGCATGAAGAGAGGGGAAAAATACATTGCAGCTGAAACAATCTAAGAAACTTTCCTCAAAGTTCTGCACAATATCCACTTAATACTTGTTGGCCAGAACTTCATCACATACCCTGTACCACTAGGCAGAGCAGCCACTGAGCACATTGCCACTCCACAGATAGTAAGATTTCTGATACTAGGAAGGGAAATGGATATTGGCTGTCAGTAGCCTCTTCTACCTTCTTTCTCTCTCTCTTTTTTACAGTATTTATTTATTTTGCACCAGATCTTAGTGGTGGCACACGGGATCTTTGATCGTCATTGCAGCTTGCAGGATCTCTAGTTGTGGCATGTGAACTCTTAGTTGCAGCATGTGGGATCTAGTTCCCTGACCAGGGATGGAACTTGGGCCCCCTGCACTGGGAGTGCAGAGTCTTAGCCACTGGACTCCCAGGGAAATCCCCTTCTCCCTCTTTTGACACCTGGTGGCCTAGCCATGTCCACTCAGCCTTCCTATCTGGGGACCTACACAGACTGAAGGCTGTGCTCGGCAGATTTACATCCTCCAAGTTCCTAGGGCTCCTTTTTTCTTGAAGGGGTGGTGCCTCTATCTTTTCTGTAGGTCTGTCTTTTCTGGTATGAATTTCAAGGGTCTCTGGCTGGCTTTCTGGGCTGTCGGGGTCTCCTGGAGTATGAAATGAAAGGGGCAGTATCCGGGAGAATTTGCAGAGAGCTCTACGGACATTCTCTTCCACCCCTGGGCATCCCCGTTGCTGTGGCTGGGACTCTCCCCTCGCCTCTTTGGTCAGCCTCCCCTGACAAGCAGGGCTTCTTCTCCAATCCTTGTACTGAGGGAAAGAGATTCCTCTAGAAAGTAATAAGATTCAGAAGGGGAAAGATGGCATTTGGAGACAGACAGACTTGGGTTGAGATCCTTTCTGTGCAAAGCTCTCTGAGACTCAAGAGACTCTGTCTTGTGACCTGGGGGTAGTGAAAGCAGCTTCACCGACGTGGCTGGGCTGAGCTGCGGTCCACGGCCCCCACTCTGATAAGGATGAATTGGGCATACATTGGGGAAGCTGGCAGCAAACTTCCCACCTTCCCATGACCCAGGCAGTTCCAGACTGTGCAGTAGAGTCCAGTCTCACCACCCTCCCTGTGGCCCTTCTACCCTTGCCCTGGGGAAATGTCCTGAGAGTGAAGGCGCTGGTCCTGTGACCCCTGGGAATTGGTCCAGCGTAGAGGAGAATTAGGGTGGCCTGCTGGAGCCTGAACTGTTGGCCAGAGCAGGGTTCACTGTAGCTCACATCCCTGACCTGACTCCAGGCACTAACAGGGCAGCCTGGAGCCTCCTGGAGGACAGATGGGGCCCTGTGGCCTTTCATTCCCTTCTGCTTCTCCAGAGTGAGTAGGTCTCACCAAACAGCCAGGCCCCTTCACAGTGCCAGACTCGGGCAGGCTGAATGCTGTGGCTTTTCTTCCTCCCTCTCGGCCCCTGGAAATAGCAGAACTCCTGCGTGCCCCCATCAGTGGGTCCTATTTCCTGCATGCAGGGCACACATATCTCGGCAGCTGGGTCACTAGGTCCTCTGGTTCTTCATGTGCCCGTGTCCTGGGAAAAAAAATAATAGCTCACGGCCCTGACAGCTTAATGGGCCTACGGCACAGGAGAGGAAGTCGGCAGGAACAGGTGCAGTGAGGCCGTGGGAGGGGTGGGGGGCGGCCTCAGCTGCCAAAGGGCCAGATTGGACTGAGTGTGGCCGTGGCCGGGCACCCTGGTGACCCATTGACACCATTCTCAGGCTGCCGGCTGCGCCGGGGGCCCGCGTGTTGTGACCGCGTAGGAGCCAGGGCCCCCGCCGAGAAGTTGGCTCAAGCCTTGGACCCGAGCGGCACAGTGCATTCCTCTGCCCAGTCACTCTCTGCACACATTCCCAAGGCCCCGCCGCGTGTCGGCCATGAGTGCTGGGCCCTCGGCGAGGGCTGACACCCAGTCCCCACCCCAGGGCTTCAAGGACAGATGGGCAGGATCACCAGGGGCGCTGGAAGCCCACACGCTGTAGCAGTTCCGACCTGGGACAGCAGGGAGGGCACCCTGGAGGAAGCGATGTCCGAGCGGGTGATGGGACAGACCGCGCCAGGGGTGGGGGTGGAGGAGGGTCCCGCAGGCCGCTGCAGGTGAGGACCCCCCCACACCGATGGAGTCGGGTGGAGGCCTTTCTGAGGTGCTGTCCTGTCCCTGCTGCCCCATGGACCCGGCCTGCTGTCCCCGGGGGGGTGTGTCTGTGCGTGGGCTCTGGCCTCCGAGTGGTGCTGGCAGCGCCAGCAGGGTTAACGGCAGCTTGACTTCCCTACGGCCTTCTCTGCCCTCCTTCTCCGAAGGAAGCCTCCGTGGAAATTACAGAAATAAGTGCCGGCTTTTGAGGACTCTGCTGTTCCCCCAGGTCCCTGCCAGGCTCGGGCCGCCTTCTCACCCACGTTCTGCCAGCCCTGGGCTCCGACCTGCGCGGAGCCTTGTTCAGAGGGGCGAGGGCTCCCTCGGGGGCCCTTCCTCAGCCCCCCACCCCCCCACCCCGAACCCGGCCCTGCTCCCCACCAGCCAGGGATGGGGCTCCGTGTACAATGGTCCCCAAGGAGGAGGGCCGCAGGAAGTGACATCGCTCGGCCCGCCCCCACCTCCCTGCTCCCTATAAAAAGCAAAATGGTGACTCAGAGGGGAGAGTTGGAAGCGTCCTGCCTCCTGCTCCCACTGATAATTTTTAGACTTGGAATTAGGCAGGAGGCAAAGGAAACAGCAGCTCGAAGTACGCGACTGACATGTTATTAAGCGGGTGGCAACCACGGAGCCGCCCCCCCTGGACTCGCCGCGGTCCCTGAACCGCAGTGCGCCGTGCCTGCCAGCGTCCCGGGCCACGCAGTCCTGCCCGGGCCGGCCGTGGATGGTGGGGCCGGGGCCATGGCAGCCGGGGGCCGCCGCCGCCGCCCACTGCGCTACCAGTCCCTGGCAGCCCTGGTGGAGGACTCTCAGTGGCCTTTCTTGTTCCTTGTCTCAGACTTCAGCTACGGGGCGGACGACTACGACGCAGAGGGGAATGAGGAGCAGAAGGGGCCCCCAGAGGGCTCGGAGACCATGCCGTACATCGACGAGTCGCCCACCATGTCGCCGCAGCTCAGCGCCCGGAGCCAGGGCGGCGGGGACAGCATCTCCCCCACTCCACCCGAGGGGCTGGCACCTGGGGTAGGTACCCCTGCTTTTCCTTCCAGGTTGGGGAAGAGGAGGTTTTGAGGGGAAGTGGGGTAGGCAGGCATGGGTGCCATGGGCCAGGCTCTGCTTGGGATGCTCCTGGGGTGCTGGACTTGGGAAACTGGGGCCTGACCGTTCTTGATGCCCTTGGGCATCTCATTCTGGTCCTGGGTGCTCAGACTAGCCCTCCACCATCACCCCTCGCCTCCCGCTGCCACCTGCTGCTCTCTGTGCCACCCTTGCACATGGCCCTGCCTCTCTGCCAGCCATCTGCTTCCCCCTGCCTCCTGGGCCCTTCACCTCCTCTTTCAGCCTTCTCTCTCAGCTCCTCTCTAGCAGGATGGGGCCTCGTGGAGGGAACAAGCTCTCCTCTCTGGGCCCGGGTCGGGCACTAACTGCATACGGGACCTAAAGTCTGTAAAGGGCACAGACACCGGCTCAGCAAACCGAAGCTGGCCTGGGTGCCAGCTGTGGGTGCAGGGCGGTGAGCAGCCTCTGTAGTATTCCTTGAGGACCCCGGCCCCGTCCAGCCCTCCTCTGCTGACTCTGGAAGGGGATGAGCCCTCCTGGTGTCCTCCTTCCCTCTTGTCCACTGGTGAGAGCTCTGCTCCAGAGAGAAGCGTTTCACGAGCAGTACTGAGGATGGGCTCTGAGACAGGCCGGGGATAAGACATGTAGAGGTGTGCAATCCTGGTAGTTAATGCTGTTCGTGGCCATGGGGACCGGCTCTGTCTGGACCCAGCTTGTGCGTGTGTCTGATAAACAAGAGAAGTGAGACAGAGGGGTTCCTGGGGGCTGTTCTTCTGAAATTGGGAAGAATCAAAACCATTTCTTCTTCTGCCCAGGGGGGCTTGGATTGCTCGGTCCTTCTTGGTAGGGGGCCTGTCTGGCTGTGTTTTGTAGGGGGTCCCCTTTCTTCCCTCTAATACCTTTGAGGAGCAGTCGCTGAGATGCCAGGAGATACTTGTTTCTCTCCTTCAGGGCCCAGTGCTCCTTGCCCCAGCCGGGAGGCTGCCTGGACTCTACCATTTCTTGAGAAACCCCTGCTTCCCTTCCTCCCAACCTCCTCGGCCACCCTCCACCCCTGCAGAGAGCTCTCACCCCCTCTTCACACACCAGGGTGGCTGTTATAGCCTTTGGCAACAAGGGCCTTGGCAACCAGCTTCCCATTTGGGGGAAGCCACATTGTTGCCATGGCAACAGAGGCCTAGGCAGAACGCCTCAGCTGCCAGGCAGTACACGTTTGGAAAGGGGTGGTGGCGGGTGGGGGGCAGGGGGGAGGAGGAAATGATGGGCAAGGGTGTTGGTCAGGCTCAGGCCCCCCACAGCCAGCATTCTGGTATGTTGTCCTGTGGTTCTTAGGAAGGGTGGCAGGTGAGAGACAGCCATTGTGGACCTGCAGGGCAGGATTTGTTACTGATGGAGGAGAGGGTGCTCTGGGACCTGAACTGACTCCAAGCAGGGGAAGCAAGGTGAAAACTCCTGCTTTCCGACACTGCCTTTAGGTCTCTGACCACATCAGGGCTTAGAGACATCCCGGGGAGTGTCCAGCATTGCCCCTGTGAGCAGGCACAGAAAGATTCACTGCAGGACTCAACCCGGCACCAGGAATGCTGGCTGAGAGCTGAGAACGTGTGGCCAGATTAGAACCTCTTGCTGGAGAGAAAAAAGCCATTTCCTTTCCCCTTTCTGCCTTCCTCCTTACTTCCTGTCTTGTCTCCTTCCCTTTTCACATGACCACCTTGCAGGAATTCTTGTCCATCAGTTTTTAGATGCCCTGGTGAAAGGTACTCAGGTGCTTTCTCTAGTGAAACAGATCCCAGGCGTGACAAGGAGATGCCCCTGCCTGGAGCCCTGGGGCTTCAGGTCAAGGACTTCCTTTGCCACAATACTGCCCCCTTTGCTTGGTGACTCACAAGAGAAAAACTGGGTTTGAGGACTAAAATCCAAGAGATGCTACAGTGTTTGCATCAGTGGCTAGAAGTGATACAAGATAGGGTTGGGGAGCATTAATCCAACTTGGAGATCCCAACCGAAGATTCCAGCCCCATGCACGCCCCTGCCTGCCTACCTTCTCTCCTGAGTTGCCTTTCTGCCCTTTCTGCTGTGCCATTGGCCCCATCTAGTGGACACAGAAAGTATTGCTGTTTATAATGGGGTGCTGGAGAGTTGACACACTTCTTCCTGAGTACTTAGGAACTGTTTCAGCATTAAAAAAAAGAAAAGAAAAGAAAGAAAGAGAAAGCCAAGGTTTCTGCTACTTGGCTCTGTTCATTTGGCCAGGCAGGTCCCCTCCCTGCCAGGCTTCCTGTTGGGGTGTTGGGAACAAGGGGACTTTTGGACCAAATCGGATGATTGTTCTAGACATTCAGAGATAGGGCCTCTGGCAGCTGGGCATTCCACAGCCAAACATGCAGCCGACTTGTTCCTGGAAGCCCAAGGAACAAGTTTTTGCATTAGAGTTCTCCAGAGAAACAGAACCTTTAGGATACAGAGGAAGAAGAATTGATGTATTAAAAGGAACTGGCTCACTAGATCATGGAGGCTGAGAAGTTCCAAGTTCTGCAGCCAGCAAGCCGGAGGCCCAGGTGAACTGATGGAATGGTTAGTTACAGTCCAAGTCCAGGAGAGTTGATGGTGGACGTTCTAGTCTGTGTTGAGTCCAAAGGCAGGAAAAGACCTATGTCCCAGGTCGAAGACAGGCAGAGAGTGAATGCTCCCTTGTGCATGCATGTGCACTCGATCATGTCTGACTCTTTGCAAACCCATGGACTGCAGCCCACCAGACTCCTCTGTCCATGGAATTTTCCAGGCAAGAATACTGGAATGGGTTGCCATTCCCTCTCCAGAGATCTTCCCCACCCAGGGATCAAACCTGCATCTCCTGCATTGGCTGGCGGATTCTTTCCCCCTGAGCCACCTTGAAGTGAATTCTCCCTTATGTCACCCTTTTGGGCTATCCGGACCCTCAACCGATTAGGTGAGGCCCATCCACATTGGAGAGGGCAAACTGCTTTATTCAGTCAACTGTTTCAAGCGTTAATCTCACCCAGAAACACCCTCACAGACACACCAGAATAATGTTCGGCCAAATGTCTGGGCACCTGTAGCCCCGTCAGCTTGGTTCATAAAACCAACCCTCATGGTCTGACTCTCCCAGCAGCTCAGAGAATGGCAGGGCCATGAGCTTTGGATAGATGAACTTGTGCTGCTGTCTAGCAGTGGGACCTTAAACCAGTGTCATAACCCCTCTGACCCTCAGTTTCCTCATGTCTAAACAGGACTAAATACCTGAAGGGTTGTTGAGAGGACTGAGATAGCCCCGGTGAGGCCTGGAGAACTGGGCCTGGTGTGCTGTGGGTCCCCAGTTCTTGGTGCCAACAGCCCACAAGACTCTCCTCACCAGCCTCGAGAGGGGTGAGGACCTGGTCTAATGAATGTTAGCTGGACAATGACTCACTCTGCTTTTGCAATCTCCTTTCTGGGGTTGGATCTGCCCTAGCAGGTGCAGGAGCCCGGATGAAACTGAGTCTCTGGTGTCGGCAGGACACATGCTCCTCACTCCCTAGCCTGCCCCTGCAGCCTCACTCTGCTTCCTGCCTTAGACGTGCCCCAGTGTGCAGCCCAATGCCCGGCAGCGTTCCTTTCCCCGAAGCCGGGCTGAGCACAGCGCCCCCTGGTGGCTCCGTTCAGCAGAGGGCCGGCTTTCACCCTGGGAGGGAGGGGCGGGGCTCGCTCTCGGTGACGAGGGGGTTAAGTGTTTCTCCGCCAGGACCCTGGTCTTACGGGAAAGCGTGCGCCCCGCAAACCATGGACTCCTCTGATTCCCCTCTCGGGAGGCACACTGCAAAGGGGCCACAAGGCGGAGAGAAGATCTGGCTGTTGTTTCAGTGCCACCACTTTCTAGCTGTGTGACCTAAGGGCTGTCACTCACCATCTCTGAGCTCCAGTTTGCTCATCTGTAAAGTGAAGATACTGAGAATTTCCCTTCTCTTGACCTCACACGGCTGTCAGGAAGCTCCCATAAGATGATGCCAGGTGGAGCACTTTGTAAAGTCTGCAAGTGCTAGGACTGCACGAGCTGTTGAATTGACGGGTTCAGACTCCAGAGGGCCGGATAATTTAAAGATGGGTGGGGGAGAATTGAGATAATCACCATTGTCATCCTTCTCATCCCTCCCCCTCCCCCAACACCCTCTCTACCCCACAGCTACTTACCCTGAGCCTTCTACATGGATTCTGTCAGGTAAGGCTCACCACAACCCTATGTAGGCTTCCCTGGTGGCGCAGATGGTAAAGAATCTGCCTGCAATGTGAGAGACCCAGGTTCAGATCCCTGGGTCAGGATGATCCCCTGGAGAAGGGAATGGCAATCCACTCCAGTATTCTTGCCTGGAGAATTCCACAGACAGAGGAGCCTGGAGGGGTATAGTCCATGGGGTCACAAAGAGTTGGACACGACTGAGCAACTAACCCAACAACACTAGGTGGCAGGTGCAATGATCATTGTTTTTACTGCTGAGGAAATGGAAGATCAGAGAGGTGACATATTTGCCCAAGACCAGCCAGAGGAGCCAAAGATGTACTTAAACTTGGGTCTTTCTCTTTTTTTAGTTTTGACCCATGCTGGCATGTGGGATCTTAGTTCCCTGGCCAGGGATCAAATCTGAGCCCCCTGCACTGGAAGCTCAGTCGTAACCACAGGACCACCAGGAAGTCCCTAAATGTGGGTTTTTCTGACGCTGGAGTCTATGCAGTGCTGCCGGGTCCACTCAGACACCACCTCCCCGTGAAGCTCTCCCAGCCCATGGCTGAGCCCTCTGCTGTTTGGGGAGTGTGCACAGTTACTTGAGGGGCACGTCTGCCCTGTGACATCAAGAGCTCTGATCCCAAATCATCTCTGTGGACCCTATCAGCGACTCCTGGCCACCTAGGGGTATTCACCCAGTGTTGTAGAATTGAACCAACCAGCACCAGGATGGCCGGGGAGCCGG